CCCATATTGCCTGGTGTCACTCTTTCAAGGGGGTATTTGGGAGATGACCATTGACTTGAGGCTATACAGCATCGAAACAAGGCTGGTGCAAATCAACAGCAACCGCCCCCACGCCCACCCCCGACCCCTCCAGGAATGGAAGGAGAAGCTTTCTGCAAATTCATGCCAAGACCAGGAGAGGGGACCACCTGCATTGTGGAGGAGATGCTGATAGTTCTGCTGGTGAGTGTGGTGGGTGACTGGGGAGAACCAACCACGTAGCGGGAAGGGATGCTACACAACGAGGGGAGGGAGCCTAGGGGACGATGGGTGGGCCAGATTTTAGGTTTCTGGATGGACACTACGAATTCTTTTCTACCCAACCTTCGGTGAAAGAAGCCATGGACTAAGTGCCAGGAGGATCACAGAAGCTGACCTGGCAGGCAGCAGGGCACAACACCGGGGCTACACCAGAAGCACTTAACACAGAGGCCCCGCTGAGTGAACTGAACCCTGCCTCGAAGCTGCCTGCACCCTTGGGCTGAGGGTTAGGGTCCTTGGATGCGAGAGGAAGCAGAGAGTGGCTACCCTGGGAATGTGGATGTGGTGGTCATTGGACCTGGTTGGGAGGAACCCCTGGCTCGGTGGGTATCCAATGGGAAGGACCCAGGATCACTATACATGCAGTGCCTCAGTGCCCACCCTGCAGTGGTATGACAAGTTGTGCTCTGTTAAGTAGGGATCGGCACTTGGAAGAATTGATCCAGGAAGGCCCCCACTGACATCAGTCCCCATACTTATAGGCAACAGAGCCTAGTCGAATGGGCGATTGAACTGTGTAGGGCAAAAACTCCTAATTTGGGGCTCAAGGTGGAACAGTTCTGCATAGACTCCTCATACCGACAGTGTCTAATGTGCTGGCTCATAGGGAAAATTGATGTTTATAGTGCAGTTGATTCATACCCCAGGGGGGTGACTGACAATGCTGTACTTCTTTGTTTATACGGGTTTTTGCTTTCCTGCTTGTAGCTTGCTTCCCTGCTTTCTTTGTGTGTGTGTGTGTGTGTTCTGTTTGTCTGGTTGCTGGCTGGCTAATGGCTGCTATTGATGTAGTCAGTCTTATAGAGTTGTGATTTTGTCACATTACGACCGCCAAAGTAAACCTGAGACGTGCAAACCCCATGGACAAGCAGGTGGAGGCTGGGCTCCTACTTAAGTTAACTCTAGCCCCAATTCAAGAACACTTAGTTCTGATACTATGGCCCTGCTCAATACTCACCTTCATGAAATGATCACTGAAGATAAGGTGCTGCAGCAAATGTGAAGAAAGCAGATGGTGCCCGACTATCTGTCTGGGCCATCTAAGCCAGGAGTCAACTAAGTCCACATGGAAGAAGCCCACCAGCTTATGTGATCCAAAGACGGAAATTACAAAATTTGAATATGGCAAAGGGAAAAGTATCAGAGCTAAAATTATGAACATCCAATTTGTAGAAGGCTATCAAGGATGGTGAGAGCCCAAAACCCATCTGCAGAGTATCTGGTCAGACTGAGCCACTGTCAGATCTGCTCGAGGCATAGGCAAGAGTCTTGAACAGCCTTGCTAGCAGGCTGAGATCATTGTGGTCTTGACTGTGCTGGATCAAACTCAATAGTTGGCCAGATGACCTCCCTTTAGACCGAACTTGAATTTGTTCAGGGTGCAAGGATCTCGTACTTGCTCCATGACATAAATTTCTTCCCTGGCTTTTTTAATGTTGATGGGGATCTTTTCTTTGTTGCTCATTACTTGTATCTTTGTCTTTATATCAGTAGTATTTTACCCATACCACCTTATTTCAATTTTGTTTCTTATTGTTTCTGTTGGGTTTCACAGCTTGTGAGGCACAGGAGGAGTGGATGCATAGTGATAATAACTGATAGAAGGGTTGATGGGGGATGCAGGGGTGGGGGTGGATGATAGGGAGGGTGAGGGGATTTCAGGAATAAAAAATGAAGGCAGAGGGGGTAGGGAGCACTAGAACTGATTGTGATTACACAACTCATTTTAAAGGTGATTTAACCATGGGGTGGGGGAGTGTTCTACAATTGATGTAATGATTGTACAATTCTCCTGGATATATTGAATGATTGAACTATTGAATTGTATGGTATGTAAGTTATGTGCCAATAAAACGGTTGGAAAAAATAAAGACTAACAAGAAATCTGTGAAACACCTTGTCACATGGGTGGGCCTGGAGGACACTGTGCTGTGTGAAGTCCATCACAGAAGGGCAGATACTGTGAGATCACAAGTATAAAAGGCCCTTGAAAGGCTTATACAATGAAACAAATCCTCTTGGACGAGAGGGAAAGGGGAGAAAGCCACTAAGCAGAGAACAGACCCACGATCACTAGGGTGAAGGGAAGGGCGATGCACTAAGGCGGAGGCCAGCGCAACGTCACCAAGGAAGGCACAGGAAGACACTTGAAGGTGCACAAGGGTCCAAGACAACAACGGAGAATGCCATCACACCCACGACCGTCCTGCGATGGCAGTCCTCACAGGCAGTACTCCACGCGTGGAGACGTAGGGAGACATGCGAGCGGAACAGGTGTGGGAAGGCAAATGGCATGGCACCCTTGTGTATACACATATGGAAAAGGATATCTCCACTATGTATTTGTGCTTCAAGTAGACCCACAGGTACGGGGGTCAACTGATGAAAACGTCTTAGCCAGAACCAATCAATGAGTCACAGGGCTTGGGGTTTAGGACCACAGTCTCAGGGGGCATCTCGGTCAACTGGCATAACATAACCCACACAGACAGGGCTCTACCTCCAACTATGGGGGGCAGTGACTGGGATCACCAAAGCTTGTGAGCAGCCATCTAAGACGCAACTACTGGTCTCTCCACGCCTGGCGCAAAGAGTGACAAGAACCAAAGACCCAAGAAGCCATCGGTCCCCAGGGCCAATGGCTCACATGAGCCACAGCTTCCACAACCCGAGAACAGCAAAACCAGAGAGTGCCTGGCCGCCACGGCCATGTTCCCTGATACATTTCACCTACACAATACATGTTCACAGTAGCAGGTCCTGGACAGAGTGGGAGAAAATTGTAGACCAGAAATTCAAAACTGTTAAAAAAGACCAGACTTACTGCTCTAACAGAGACTGGTGGAGCCCCCAGGGTGATGGCCCTTAGACACCCTTCAAACCTGGAACTGAACTCACTCCCTGAAGATCACCTTTCAGCCCAACAACAGGCAGTCTCTAAAGTGAACAGCAAAAAAGGGGAGGAATGTACTCTTCAGAACATGCCATCTCAGGAAGCCAGGGGGCAGCATTTGCCCCAAACCACAGCTCCAGATGCAGGGAGGGGCAGGGAGGGGCAGAAAAGGGCCCATGGGAATGGGGGAGCCAGGGAGGAAGGGGAAGAGTGCTGTTCTGCTGAGGGGATTACAAGTAATGTCATGAAACAAAATGCGCATCAGCTGTTGAACAGAAAACCAATCTGTAAACTTTCACAATCAAATGTCCAAAAAGGATTTTAAAAAAGAGAACGAAGACTATTGTCTCTTTACACTCGCCTTTCTTTTTCAGAGATGACTTTTGGTGGGGAAGAGGGGGCAGAGAAAACAAACTTTTAAAATAAGATGCAGTTTAGGAAATCTAACAGGTTGAATGGAATGCATATGAAGACAAGAAACTCACAGGGGAAAGTTCCCTCAACTTTCCTTCCCTCCGCAGCGCCTAAGAACCACCTACCTTCTGCATCCGCCTGTCCACAGGCAGGTCAGAGCAGCACCCTTTGGAGGTGTTGGCAAGGTGGGCCGCTGCAGGATGCTCCTGGCCGGAAGGTGAGAAGGGCCTACCCTCTCGGCACCACGGTGTGTGAGAGGGGAACTTTCCCACGTATGACACTTACTCTGGTAAGGGGCCTGCATTGCTTGAACCCTGGAAATCTTTCTAAGCTGAAGTGCCTACTGATAAGCCTTCTGAACCCACACTTTGCTTATGTGCTCACTCAGAGTCAGTATGCGAGGGATCGGCGACCACCCGGGAGAGAAAACCCAGCGCTATGTCTCTTGGAACCCAGATGGCTGCTTTCTGAGTCCCTGGGTCTGTCTGACTGTGTTCTCTGCTTCCCCTCAGCAGGCAGGCAATCCCAGGTGTGTGTTGCTTTTCACCTGGTACTTGGCCCTGGCGCCACAGCTACACTCTGCCCTCCTGCTCTGGACGAGTTTGCTGCAGGCTGAAAAGCTTAGCAAGCATGCTTGCTAGACGTTGGTTTGCGATGAAAACTAGCAGGCTTTGGACGAAGCTTACGGGGATGTTCTGAGGATATTCTGAGGGCTATCTTCTCAGCTGTAATCCATGCGATTCAGGTTGCTAACCAGGAGGTGCTTAGGCCCCGAGTATGGTTTCAAAGCTAGAGAGAAAGAAGCTGCTTCGTTTTCTACACCGTCTGTGCCACAGATACGTGGGCTTTCCTAAAGGAGGGACACTCTATCTCCAAATGAGATCCTGCTCAAAAACCAAATAATTAAAACAGCAAAAGCAAAACTGCTCTGGGTGACTCCAGGGGGAAAGGCCTCCCCCTGACACCATCTGGCAGCCTCTCAGCACCCAGGCAGAAGCTTCTAGCTCAGAGGACCTCCCGTCTCACAAAGCATCAGACTCCAGTGTTACCTGCCAAGTGACCCAAGCTGGAGCAAAGTAAATAAATAAATAAAATAGATACCTCGGCTAAGTAGGAAGGGAATCGACGCTTCCTTTAAACAGAAAGCGATTTCACTAAAAGTATCTTATTTTTAATACAAGTATTTCCTTGCGTTCAAAGAGGAGGCGCTAGTTCTAATCTCGTGCTGATCAAATCTCTCTGGAGAGAAGCAGCCAGAGACAGCCCTGGAGCCTGCGGAGGGGCCTCGCGCAGGCCAGATGGGTTCCAGCAGGCGAGCCTGCCTTTTCTCACTCCACCTCACACTCTCAGCGATGGGGGGGGGCAGCCCGCGGAACTTTCTGGGGCCTCTTACCTGGTTATCTGGGTGGTTGACAGTGAAGTAGCCCACACAGACGATGACCTCATGGAGCAGGCTTTCGCAAGAGACTTGGCTGCAGTGGCCCAGCAGAGAGCTGGCGATGTGCCGGAACGCAAGTGACAAGCCCTCTGCGCCTACGATAGACTGACAGAGACAGGCCAATTAGGACCCTTGGTCAGGGAGGGCCCGGGTGGCAAGCCATCACCGAGCCTGGGCCCTGTGTGCCTTCTGTCACCGCCCTGGCAAAGCGGAAGACAGTCCTGGAGCACTGTGTTTCACGGGCCAGTTTGTGCTTTGCAGCCAGGCCGGGGCTGCTTGCTGGGATCTGGGATCATGGTCCCAGGTGTCTGCCCAACCTGCCTCCACCCCCTCACCACCACCGAGAAGGGACAAAAAAGGGAGCGCAGCAGATCAAATGCCCATACCACGAAAGTTAAGCCATTACCTGTGAGCCTAGCTAACTTTTTTTGAAGGAGAAGAAAAAAAACAGAGTTTTGGTACACAGGGATGAAATGAAAGCACCTATCTAAATGGCTACCTCTCTTTCGATGGAGAAGAAATATAAATAACAACTAGTTATTATCCAAGTAAGAGTGCTAGACACTCAAGGGTCCCGAGAGGGTAAAACAATCTCCCGGAGCCCCCAGAGCCCATGGGACCCCCTTAGTGGCCAGGCTTCTGGGATCCTGTCTCCATCCATCCAGACAGGCAGGCAAGGGGCTGCCGGGCGGAGGGCGACTCCCGAGGAGAGTCTGAGTCTGTCTGCGCAGCCCGAAGCTTCTATTTAATAAACATGTCAAGCAGACAGAGCGACAGGAGGGCAAAGGGGAGAGGCGAAGCCCACAGAGCACACTCGCAGCCCCGCACTGGAATGAAGCGCGGTGGCCGGCCTGTGGGAAAAGGCAGCCTTTTCAACTCATCGTTGGATTTCAGGTCCTGGCGGGCTTGAACCAGGCCAGATCCCCGGCAGCTTGGACGTTTCAACGGGTCCACCTCCATGACCGGGGGCTGAGTCTGTGGTGAGCATTGCTGAAGCAGAATGCAAGCAAAAGCTAAGCGGTTCATTCTGAGGCACAAGCCTCAAGACAAAGGTACACACACACACACACACACACACACACACAAAGACTGAATTTTTTTTTGTTTTCAGCCCCAAAGAGACTTCCAGAGGGTCTTGCTCCTTTAAATCAGCAGTGACACCTTCTCAGCTCAGCCTTTATTTAATTAGCTGCGTCCAGCCTGCTGTGACCCAGTGCCCTCTGTTTAACCTTCACTGATAAGAGCAGGGCAAGGGGCATGTAAGTTTGAATATAAAAATTAAACCAATTTTTCAAGGAAACTATATTTCCTTTTTAGCCAGAATTAATTGCCAAGTCAGTGCATTGATTTGTTTCTTGTGACCACCTTCAATTGTAAAAACTGTCAAAGTGGAGGCAATCTACAATCTCCCTGACCCCCAGGCCATCTGTGTGAGCATGAATCCAGGGAGAGCAGACTTCTGCTGAAGGGGGGTGGGGTGGGAGATAGGTTGACAGCAGCCTTATTAGCATACAATGAGATGGAACCAGCTAAGAAAATAATCCTAGTGGATAACCTTTTGTCCCGACTGCTACTGTCAGCGGGCTTCTCCCACCAGGAGGAGCACACAGGCTTGTGACGCCAAAGAAGGGTGGAGGATGCTGGAAAGGCTCGGTCAGATGGGCTGGGGACAGTTTTCATCTCCAGAAGCTGAGTCAACAAACACTCCTGAGTGTTTCCGTTGTTGCCCGTCCAGGGTCTCTAGGTCATCTCATTTCATCCTCAGCCAGTTTGGGAAGGCAGGCGATTGTAACCTCTGCTTTACAGACGGGGACACTGAGTCTGAAGGGTTCAAGTGACTTGTCTAAGGTCGTCACATCACGTGAAGTGGCGACCAGGCCCGTTTGCCTCGAGACCCAGGACTCGGGTAGAGAGGTGCGGCTGCGCACTTTGTTTACATCGCCGGGTCTGACTCTTCAGGAGATTCAGTCACTTCGTTCACTTCAGGTTTCTTCGTCAGTTCCTTTGAGCCTCCCATGCAGTTGACAATTTCCCTCCAGATTTCTCTGAGCTCAGACCCAGGCCCAGATGGATACGTTCTTTCTGAGAGGGGCACCTAAAATCTCTCCTGCCTCTGCAAACCGAGCCCCTCACATCGCCCTTTGGACATGCAAGCGGTCTGGAGGAACTGGAAAAGCGAGTGGCTCGGGCATGTTGTCCTTCTTGTAAGGGGCCGTCAAGTCCGTTCCAACGCACAGCAGCTGTCTGTAGAACGGAGCCAAACCTGCCCGGTGCTGTGCCGGCCGCATGCGCGGTACGTCTGAGCACATCGCTGCAGCCACTGTGTCAACCCATCTCCTTGGGTTCTTCCTCTTTCTCGCTGCCCTTCTACTTGACCAAGCATGGCCAGCCTGATGACCTGTCCAAAGTATGTTGAGACGAAGTCTGGCTGCACTCCTTCCAAAACAGACATGCTTGGTCTTTTGGCGGTCCACGGTATTTCAGTCTTCTTCACCAGCACCAGAACTCAAATGCATCAGTTTTTCTTCGGTCTTTCTTATTCAATGCCCAACTCTTTTTTGGGGGTTGGATTTTTAATAAACTTTTTTACTGAGAATTGGATGCAGATTTACAGAGCAAATCAGTGTTCTACTTTACCGTTCAAACATGTTTTAAAAAAATCATTTTATTTGGGGCTCTTACAGCTCCAAGGCCCCACTTTGACCTGCATATGAGGCCATCGAAGATACCAGGGTTTGGGTCAGGAGCACCTTAGTCCTCAGAGTGACATTCTTGCTTTTCAACACTTTAAAGAGCTCTTGTGCAGCAGGTTTACACAATGCAATGGGTTGTTGGTCTCTGGCCATATCGTTCCATAGAAACAGTACTTTGCTACCAAGCTCACCCAATGCTGTTATTTGATGCAAACACCTGAGTATTTAATTTACACAGGCCTTGCATACGTGCGCAGATGTCTACCTACAATATGTAGAGGTCTCCATCCATGATGTCGGTGAGGCCAGGAGATGTGCCACTTAGGTTTGCTGAACAGAGTGTGATGATTCAATGCAGGAGGCCACCAATCTCTGACAGTCCTCCCATTAAACATGGGCCTGAAGTCTCGTCCCTTTGAATCTGGGAAGGGTTGTGACTGGTTGACCCAGGAGATAGATATGTGGTAGATATGAGAGTATGTGACTTGTGGGTTTAGGTCATAAAAAGACATGCAGTTTCTGCCTAATTTTCTCAAAACACTTGCTTTCTGGAAGCTTCTATTCAGAACTCGGCTATCATGATTCTCTGAGAAGTCCAACGCACATGGAGAAGCCGTGTGTAGCTGCCTTAACAGTCTCAGATGAGCTGGCCTTATGAGCTCAGGCATCAAACAAGAGTGTCAAGAAGCCTCCAGATAATGCCAGCTCCCAGCTGTTAGCCAGCCCCGCTTCTACCCCTGCAACCCTCTTAGTCCCTCAGTTGAAGCCCTCTTTTTGTGAAGTAGACAAGCCATTGCCCCTGCGATGAGCTCTGGCTAGATTCTGGACCCACAGAATCACTGCTCATAATCAGATGACTGTTAGGCTGACATCTCTGTACGGGTGTTTGGGTATCGTGACTTAACGCATCAAGATAACTGGAACAATAGCTCTCAGTCAATTATTGGAGGTTCTGACACTGACACTGTGGAGGTTTGGGTCCTGCAGATTTGAACGAAGAGTCAGAGATGATCCTGAGTTAGATTTGGGCCCCGCAGGCAGGCAGCCGGTCAGATGCCATGTCAGAGGAACAGGAGAAGAGGCAGGTGGGCTCCTGGAGGCGCTCTGGCCCCGCTCCAGTTAAGGGGCACAGAGCGCCTGGAGACCATGGCTGAGTCGAAGATGAGAAACGGGGGCGGCAAGCAGGAGAAGCTGAACAGAGACATAAAAGAAGAGCAGGAGAGGACAGGAAGAAAGAGCCAAGAAGTACGGAGTGGTCTGTGGGCAGAGGAGAGAGAAACAAGGCACTGGGGACCGAGCAGGGTGTGTTCATTTGAAGCCCCTGAGTCACCTGGGATGCGGTTTCTGGCAAAAGCTCCTCCGGGAGGGGACACAGTGAAGGCTGCGTTTGGCAAGGATATGCAGAGGAGAAATCTTGGCGTTCGGTGTGGCTTGGCCATGAAGGGCTCAAGAATACGAGCTTCTGATTTTTTCTAACGCTATTAGCCATTTTGTGTAAAGGCCATGAGGGAGCAGGGCTGCTTGGGGGCTCCGTGACACTCCGAGTGACTGGCGGGATGGCGACGATGCAGATGTGTCCTCATGCTGTGGAACAATACCCGGCAGCAGCATCAACCCTGGCCACAGAGCTACAGAATGAGAAGCCGGAGGGAGTCTTTAGCTAGTTGCTTTTTCACAATCTCCAGTGACAGAGGAAACCATCCTACGTGGACATAGTTGACAGGTATGACTGCTGGGCTCCACATTCTGGGGACAGAAAATGGAGGCTCCCCTCTGATTTCCAGACCTGTTCTAGACTAACTGTCACGGGCTTGGGGCTTCATGAAACACAGATGTGCGTTCAAACCACAGGCAAGGGCCATTAGCGTTTCATGGAAGAGGCATCTTTTGCTGTGGATGTTGCTGGAAACTCTTAGGGCTCTAGAAGTTGGGGAGTTACCGTCCCTGGCTGTTTCCACTGTGCTGGAAACCGGGAGAAGCATGAACTCCGAGACAGGGATTTCTGTTCTTGTGAGAAATAAACTAACTTGACCAAGTTCAAAGACGGTAGAGCCAGTGCTACAGCTTATTCACGGATTTCCTTCTGTGGCCAGCATGACAGGAAGCCATCAATGGGAGAGCGGCACATGTGTCACCAGCTACAAAACAAGCGTTTCTTCCATCTGGGAATGGGCACCGACCACCATTTTCATACATTCGTATCTCTCAGAACTTTTCCCTGTGAGCACAGCAATTCATCTAAATTATGGGCTCATCATCTGCCAAGTCTGCTCCTTTTTAAAATGAAATCACTTGACAGTTAATAAACGGAAAGAGAAAGTGTCCTCCTTGGGGCATGCTCTGTTCCAGAGGTTCAGTGTTTTTGAAAATTAAATTTCTTTCATGAAAAAAACCAACTTTTTTCTCGGCTCAAAGTCGGGTGTTATAACAAAAAGAAAAATTCTCTCTTGAGCTATAAAAACTTAATTTATAGGGGTTTACACTTCTAATCACACATGCACTTTACACTCAACACAAGTCACTTAAATCTTCCAGTGAAAGCCGTATCAATCAAAACAATTTATCCAATTTTGGTTTTGTTTACATAAGAAACCATTACTTGCCCTAATATTTAAAAGTTGATGGGATGATAATGCCTTTATCTAAAGACTCTGAGACAGGAGATTTATAAATATCCTGAAATGAATACAGTCCTTGAGGTCAGACAATCACGGGTACCAGTTCTGGCTCAGTCAATGTGTAGCCTTGTGTAAATTACTTATCTTCCAATTTATCCATCCATTAAATGGGTACAACAATATTTTGTAGGATAGTTAGGAGAACAAATGGGAAATACAGTGCCAAGGAGAAAGCAGAAGTATAAGAAATAGTAGATATTATCATTCTATCTGTACTAGTAAACTTAAAAACTGCATGACTATAGACTATCCCACAGGGCTCTATCCAAGAGAAGAATCTCACATCACTGCTACTTTATAATATTAACTGGTGGTTGGTTAACCCCAGGACAAAGCAAGGCTCGGTACCTGAAAAGCAGGCAGATCCAGAGGGGCAAAGCTGTTGAAGAAACGTAAACTCTGAAGGGCCACTTGAACTGTGTTCTGGGCATAGCTCTCCTTCGGACTGGCTGCGCTGGGGTCCGAGATGGTGCCGTGAAAGAGGACACAGTAGAGCATGTGCAGAACTCCGGCCAGGTCTGTCGCCTGAAGAGCAGCTGTCAGCCCCGTGGGATCCTGGCGATTATTGTCGAATATGCTGTATGACCTGACAAAGAGACATTCAGCTCTTTCAGAGAAATCTACTTAAAGGATGTTAACATTTTTATAGGTCAAATGGAACAAGGCAAGCAGACCGTTAAAAGCAAACCATCTGAGTTGTGTATTAAGGTAATAAGAAACCTCAAAGAAGAGATGCAGCCCTTCCCCCATGAGTGCACCGTGGCTTGTCCTTCCTTCCCTCTGGGAGACCAGGCTGCTGCTGCAGAGCAACTGAGCAGCTGCAGCCAGCGCGGAGGCCGTGGTCTCCTTCCTTGCCCTCTGCAGCCCAAGTAGCCTGCCATGGGTTCAAGTGAGTCTTTCCAACATGGGTGTCAACTTGGTTGGGCCACGATACTCAGAGGTTTGGCAGTTATGTAATGATGCAATCACCCTGCCCCGATGATGTGCTCTGAGGTGATCAGCCAATCAGTTGGAAGAGGATCAGGATGCAATGCAACATCTTATTTAGGTCACAACCCTGATCTGATTAAGGGGAATTTTCCTGGGGTGTGGCCTATGTTTCCTTTTATTTTATAAGAGACAAAAGGTGAGAGAAGTGAATGGGGTGGGGGCAGGGGGAGCTATTACCAACAAGAAAGCAGAGCCAGGAGCAAAGGATAGTCATTGGACCCAGTGTCCCTATGCTGAGAACCTCTTAGACTCGGGGGAAGATGATGCTAAGACACATGGTGATCTCCAAAGAATGTTGGTTCCACAGGTGCTAAAAGGAGACAAGGACCTTCCCCCAGAAGAGAAGGGCAGCCTTTCCCTAGAACTATGCCTGGAATGTAGACTTCCAGCCCCCTAAACTGTGAGAGGATACATTTTTGTTTGTTAAAATCATCTACAGTGAACCCTCGTTTATCGCGGTTAATCGGTTCTAGACCCTACCGTGATAAATGAAATTCCGCGAAGTAGGATTCCTTATATCCAAAAGTTTTACCTTTTCCTGGATGGTGAGCATCTTCCTCTGGCGCTTATTTTTATTGTCAGAAGGCTTAGAAGAAGCAGCTCGTTTAGGGGCTATCATAGGGCTTAGATAAAATTTCTTAAAAATCGCAAACATTACAGTACACTGTACAAAAGCAAAAATGCATCTGATACATAGCTCCGATACGTAGCGATGCAGACAGAAGCGTGTACAGTATGAGCCAATCTGTGGCAGTAATGACAGAGCATGCGCTGTTAGGCAAAAACCGCAATAGAGTGAAGCCGCGGAAGTCGAAGCGCGAAGTGGCGAGGGTTCACTGTACATGTATTTCTGTTAAGACACAACCCAACTTTGTCTAGTTTCTAGGTCTGGACAGAATGGACAGGGTCCACGAGAGCTCTTTGAACTCACAGACTAAAATGACCACAGCTTTCTCTCTGGAGACACAAAGGGAACCTTCTCATAGGAGGCAGCTGGCAGTAGGGAGACCCTTAACTGTTTTGAAGGAGGGCTTTGAAGTGGTACTCTCCACTTCAGTCATGGCCCACCTAGGGAAAATGGAACTGAGACAAATTGGTAAAAGGTAGGCGGTCCAGAATAATAACCATAATAAGAAATATTACAGGTTGACCAATCGCTACAACACCTAATCTCACGCTTAGAAAATAACGGCAGTATGTGCACTGCAGAAGAAGTCAATCTCTTGCCTGGCAGAGTCAGAAACAGTGGTGACTGGCTCAAAGATGGTGCAGCGTAGTATCTCTTCACACTCCTGGCAATAACCCAGGCTCCTGGCAGGGCTCCCTCACTAGGCTCCTTCTGAGTTTCCCATTCAAGAGCTTCAACCTGTACTTTTCCCACTCCGGCTACTGTCCTGGTAGATCCACATTTTACAACCCTGGGTCTACTGTGACTTCACTGCATGGGTCATAACGGAACTGATTAGAACTGGTTGTTGGAAGCTCTGTTTGAAAGGCACAGTTCCATCATCAAAGAGTATTGTTAGGGCAGACTCTGTGTGTGTGTGCAGACTGTATGTGTGTGTGTGTGTGCAGAATCCCAGTAATAAGCAAGTGCTGTATTTGCTTTACACAAATCATCCTGGCGTCCGCTTAGCCACTGTGCCAGGCAACGCTATGAATGAGCAGAAAGAGGCAAATGTCAGTGGCAAGCTAATTCCTAAAATCTACAGGAATGTTAGTAACAAGTTGCTAAATCTACCTCACCTTTGAACTTGGGTTCACCTTGAAATTGGCATCCTGTAGCCAAGAGCAGGCAGTTGTAATAGACATTGATTACTCTTGCGGCCAAGTGTTCATTCATCCTTTTTTGCCCAGATTTTCCTCTCCAAGAAGCCACCCCTTCCTCACTCAGAGTCAGCGTGCCTCTGGTGGGGCCACCTCACTTCCCCTGGTTCAAGGGTGATGCGTGCCACCCAGACTGAAGATAAGCTGCACAGCCGATTTCTCTGGCTGCTCAGCATGGTCCAAGGGTGGCCCATGCTGCAGGCCGAGCGAGTGAGATGGACGGATGCTTTTGCTGAGATGCTTGGAAAGAAGCCCTTCTTTCTCCCTTGAGAAGATGCACAGTCTGGAGCTGCAGTAGCCACTGCCCCAGCACCGCAGAAACGGGTCCAAGTGGGCCAGTCGCCTGATCTCGTGGGACACACACCTTCTTGTCATTTGATAAATACTTGGAAAGATAAAGTATTACAAAGAATTTTAAATGCTAAAGTTGTATTCCTGAATCTCTGCATTAGACTAGGCTAACGACCAGTATAAAAACAACCCAAGCAGCAAGTGGGAGGTCAGCACTATAAATCACGTAGCAGTAAAACTGTTGTCACCAGCAAGGATGTCACTCATCCCCTCAGGTTCTGAACGCCCACTAGGAATTAGCTTCAGGGAGAAATGTCTTCTGGCTTGTCATTGGTTCTAAAAGGCAGTCAGTGTTAAACAAACACAGGGTCCTTTGTGGAATCTATATAATAAACTCAGACACATTAATCTCCACTCAAGTCTCTCGGCAGGGCCTAAGCGCTAACTCTGAGGGCTACAAAGGAAGAAAGGAAGGGCCAAGTGACATCGGCTAGCAGAAGTTTGTGCGAAGGTTCAGATGTGGCCATAATCAAATCACAATGATTTCTTAAGCCTCTGCTTGTACTGCATCCCAGGAGACAAACATTGAGACTCTGGAGATACAAGACTATATTACACTTCCCATCTTCTTCGCTTAACATTGTCCAACGGATCCCGAGATTGCACTCAGGCAGAGGCATTGCGAGAAGAGAGGGTCTATTTCTGGTTGAGCTGGTTGTCCCAGTCCTTGGACAAAGTACTACCATCACGCAATCAAAAAATCTTAGGTGGTACCCCTGTCTTTGCCACGACCACATCTGCCTGGCTCTCTCCAGGCCTCAGTTGCCTGATGCGAACAGTGGGAAGATTAAGCCCTTCACGACCAGTCATGATGAAAATGAATGAGAGGAGATGGATGGGTGCACTCACTGCTATTACCGCATCTAAAGAATGCAACAAATAAAATTAAAAAATGTATATCCTAAAAATAAACGAATAAAACTTAACAGAGTAAGTTCCCCCTCTGCACTTCTTATCATCATTTTGAGGGAAACACCCCCCACCCCCACTGCCCCAACCTACATTCCTACACCTTTTACAACAGTCTTCTGATGAGACAAAAATGTTGACTGAGAAAGATAAACTGGCATTCAAAATCTCAGATATAGACATGGTTGAAAACCAGTCTCTTGCTGCATTTTGGAAAAGACGGTTCATGTCGAAATGTGACCACGGACGGTGTCCGGGGAGGCGGGAGCTTGGCCCACCGCCTCTGGCTTCCCCGGGACTAATGGGGACCTCAGCGAATGTTTACTTTTGATTTAGTCTGAAATATAGATAATTTGTCCATGAACAGGCCGCTGGCTCCTGTTGGTCTTAACTGTCAGTTATAATCACTTTAAACCTAAATGTTTATAATAAAGATGTAAAAGGCCTTATTCATATCGGGCATGGGATATAAGGTTTTCTTTAAAAAAAAAGGGGCGGGGGGAGATGTAAAAAAATCAGATGTGAAATTTTGTAAACTGGACTTGGAGATCTCAATTTGACCGGATTTTAAAGTGCTTTTGCTTGGTCTCTAGAATGAGAGAGCTTAGCGGTTTGCTCATGTCTGTTCATTACACGCTACATTCAATTAGGAAAAGCTTCCCTGGGACCACCATGATTCCTGCACAGTGGCTGGCTTCAAGCAGAGCACTGCTGGCAAACCTCTCCTCTCCCCTGAAAACAAGTGATTTGTACAGATATGAATCAAGTACCATTCTTCTCATTTATTATTTTTAAAACCCAATTCTGTACTCGGCTTGGCTGCTGTTTATGTGCTGTTGAATCAATTCCTGACTCCGTGACTCTGTGACGGAGCAAAACTGCCGAGCTGGGTTTTCATGGCTGCGCTGGACAGGCGCGGGTCACCGGGCCTTTCTGCACAGAGTTGCTGAGTAGGTTTACACAGTCAGCCTTTCTGTTAACAGCCGAGCTATCACTCCACAGTGGCACCGCCAGATCCTCTGCACCAGGCGTTTGTTGCTGAGACAAAGCAGCTGTGATGACCCCGGACACTACCCCCCCTGCTCCATTTGCTCCTGCCTGGTCATCTCCCCAGCCTGCAGGTTTCTGGCTTGATAACATCACTCTGGCCACCTTCCGTGCTGGTGATTGTCTAGCATACTCTCAGGGCCTCTTGGACTGTGGCTTTGTACCCATTTCCATAAGGTCACTATGGGTTGAAATCAACTTGATGGAAGTGAGTTTTCACAGATTTCGTTCTAAAACCTCAGGCACCTTGTGAGATGGTCCCATCTAAGCCCCTGAGCCCGGATCATGCACTCACAGGTCTCCACAGTGTTGAGAGAGGGTGGGAGCACGTGGGCTCTCCCAATCATGGAAGAGAGCTTCACTGTTCAAGAAGAGTTACCTCTCACGGTGAGTCTGGCTCTGGGCTCTTGCCTCCTGATGTATTCTGGGCAAGCCGACCTGCACCTAGTCATACCATTCAAC